AAATTTAGTCAAAAACAGCAAAATTTAGTCAAAAAAAAAAAAAAAAAAAAGAAAAGCGAAAAACATCAATAAGAAGCAACATAAGGTATTCATAGTTCATCTTGTGTGTTTTATTTCTAAACAGTTGTATTGAATGATAGCATAGCTACACGGATATAGGTTTTATTCATGTTATGAATTCGAAAGTAGAAATTTTAAGCATTTTTCGTGTGGGTATTTTCAAAAAATTTGAAATTTACGGTCGTGATTGTGCGCGTGTATTACTCTGCGCGATACGCTTGAAATAAGCGTAAAGTACGCCTGGGGTATGCACTACAAAAAGGAACAAAAATTATCAAATCCCTATCCGTATCATAAAAAACTTTATTTGAGGAAAATTAAGCCACTAGTTACGGTTTTATAAACATTTGAAGTTTCTGAGCACGAGAATAGCAAGTTGCATGTTATTTCTGTCACTTTTTGCCATGGCCCATATATTTGGGGATCTGCTTCTCCAGCGGATCACCTCTTGTTATTGTCAGAGATCTTTTTTTTTTATTCTACATTTTTCCCCATTTCTATTTTGTACGATATCTCAAAATCGCCACAAGCTACATACATTTCAGCTTCAACGAACATTTGGCTTGGCCTGGAATAGTCACAATAAGGTTTTCAATGTGCTCAGTCATGCGGGACGTCATCTACGCGCAATTTTGCGTTTTTAAATTATCAATCATATCTTTCTAACCAGTTCTCATTTCTAAATCATATTCAGTGTGCATAAACTTCAGGTCAAGGTTGAATATCACGTACCAAAATATTTCGCGCATGCATGCTTCAAAATGCATTTTCAGCATTTAAAAATTGTTCAATCCACCCTGCGCACCCTTTCCTGAGGGTCAAAGTGCGGCGGATCACCTAACTCGTCCTCAGTGATGAGTTCAAATCTATTTCTGTTCAACTTTTGTAAATGCTAAAATATAGTGTACATTTTGATTGTAAATTTTTACTGCAAATTACATTGGTCATGTAGCCTTAATACACAACGACCCGTAAATTTATAAATTTTTCAGATGACCTTTGACCCACAATTCTGAAATTTAAATTTAGAAAAAAAAAAAATTATTAAATAACAAAAAGAAGTAAATAAAAAAGTAATTCATAAAAAAAAAGTCTTATTGTGGTTGCATTCTCAGAGTAATTGCATCGTCCGACAAAATGTTGGCGCAATTTGACAGGCTTTAATGGTGTATAAAATTTCGCAAACTATAATATAATAAAAACTATACAGTACATAAATATAGATATATGAAAAAATTTATTACCAGAATTAATCTGGAAGTAAAACTATCGCCCACCGGACACCATCCCGGTATTTCTGAGTCTAGGTTTCGGGGCTGGAAATAATAATTATGTACTAAATTAAGTTACACAAATGAAAAATAAAAATATTACCAGTGGTAATCTAGAAGTAAAACTATCCCAAGCCGGACTTCAAATGACAAATTTCATTGGCTGTTACGCATGACGTAATCCTCTTGCAACAAAAACTAGCATAGTCTCACAATTCTCTCTAAATCATCATATGTTTAATATCCACTTCAATCCTTAATATTTAACTATTTTTTTAGATAATTATTTGCTAAAAGTATATTTTAATACTTTAAGTATCATTTAGTTTTGAACTCATAATTTTATATACATGAAAAATATTACCATTTATATGCAGCACTTTCGTTAAGGTTGTTATGGTTTACCTCGCGACAAGGTGTACAAGACAGCCGATCAACAGCTGATCGTCAGTTTTGCGATGCTTAGATATATAAACTAATCTTCGTTATTAAAAAATTGAACCTTATTAATCGCAATTCTCTGGAAAAAACAACAAATTTTAATGAAATTTTTAAAAGCTGATAACTTTGATAAAAGTTGACTGATTTCAGAAAGAATCAAAATGGTATACTACTTCGACCCCTGACTGACCTGATGAAAACTTCTCAACCAATCAAAAAGCATTTTATATGAATATTTTCTTAAGGCCTTTGTTGACAAAAACACGCTTGGCTGAACTGCGTTAATAACACTAATTAAAGTGCGTGATGTCACACATCGTGTGGTGCCTACCCTTTACTCCTTCAGTGTTTACATTGGCCTGGCGGCGCACTACGCGGCAGAATGATATATTGTTCGGCCGTTAATAACTAATGGAATATGTATAAATAGGAATCTTCTCAAACAAAATTAAGTCATGATCTAAAATTTAAAAAAAAAAGGAAAAAGGGAAAACACTGACAGTTATAAAAATAATAAATTATGTGATAAAATATGTCAATAAACAAAATGATAAATTTTATTTATTAAAACAGAATAATAAATAAAAATAACAATAAAAATGTAATAGGCATATTTGATGAAAAAGTCAAAATGTTAGACTATAGAAAAGAAAAAGATTTCAAGAACTCCAATGTCAGTACTTCACTCTTTTGACAGATCTATTCGTTTAGGCGGTTTATCCGTTCTGCCTGATTTGGTTACATACACATTATGTTAATTACGTGTTGTGTGTGATTATTAATTAATTACTGTCTTTCTGTCTCTTTTGTGCATTCTCACAACTCCCTTCTATTAATTGTCTGCATTTTCGATCATTGGTTCTGTGAATTTGAATAATTCTCCAGTTTTGCGGACATGGCGTCTGTTTCTGCGGTATGTTCCTGATGTAGTTTTCACAATGTGGGAATGTGGGTGGTTTGTGGTACTTTTTACTATTGCTGGTTTCCATTTGTTAGAGCAATAGTCTTTGGTTCTGACGCTTTCACCAACTTCCAATTCTTTCAGCGGTCGTGCATGCTGGTTATATTGAGTGTGCCATGTTTCAGATCGCTTAATATTTGCCTTTTTTCACTGTGGTATCACATGATGGCAAGTTCGTAATTTCTGTGCGAAGAGAAGTTTGGCTGGCGAGGGGTTTTTCTCCTTCAATAGGAGTTGTGCATAGAGACAGTATTTAATTGCTGAATCGTTGGCTTTTATAAGCCTTCTCTAGGGTTTTCTTTACAACACCTCGTTCTGCTTTCCCATTGCAGTGTGGGAAATGAGGACTGCTTTTGTGTTTGAAGTCGTATTCCTGTACGAATTTGCCAAATTCACCCAAGTTATATTGTCTTGCGCTATCACTTATTAATGCTCTTGTTTTTCCAGACTCCGAAAAATTATATTGAGTTTGCTCACAATTGCCATTGAGGTTGTCGATGTTAACTTCCGGACAATATCAAATGAACTATAATAAAATTGAATCCAGTATGAAAAGATAATCGTTTCCTTTCCAGTGAAAAAGAAAAAAAAAAGGCAAGGATTTTCTCTGGACATTTGTTGCGATATTACAGCCAACCTTTTGTTATAATTCTTGAAAGGGTCTGCAATTGCTCGTCATTTGAGTTTGCTTCTCTAATTTTCTCTATTCTGGAAGTGGGAGCATTTACTATTTCATCAGTAGTGCAGAATTTTTTTGAGTTTTTTACCTTTACATGGTAATCTTGATAGTCCATCTGCTACTGGGATGTCTTTGGTACATATTTAACGGTATAATTGTATGGTTGTATCCTGAGTAGCATTCTACTAAAATATAATCATCTAAATACCAAACTGTATCAAGATGAAGCTATAATAGAATTTAATTTTAAAATATTTTTAAAATAAGGAATTCTCAAATGCCAACTTCCCGGTATTTAAAAAACTAATTTCAAGAGTGCAATAAAACATATTATGACCAGGTCTGATGATTTACTTGAGGTACCCAAACCAAGTACTGAATATAAGACAAGAAGTTTTCCTGTCAGGTAGCCATTGTCTGAAATAACCTAAACCTCAATATGAGAATGGCCCCAAATTTTCATATTTTATAAAAACTATTACAAATAATTGAAAGGTTCTTGCATAAGATAATATATGTATTCTCTTTCTTTTTAGTTCCTATGCATGTAATGCAATAGGAACTATTGTAATCACTCTTGTTTTTCCTGTGTGCGTGTGTGTGTAGACATTTATGCAAATGCGTCAAACAAAGAAAAGTTTTCCAACATTTTGTTTTACCTCGCGATGCGAAGTTTGTGCAGTGTTCAGTCAGGGCTTGCGCTTACCGATCGACAAGTCGGCATGAGGCATTTTGAAGGCCTAAAATTAAAAAAAAAAGTTTTAATACTTGCTGAAATACATCGTTTTTTTTTCATTTAGATCTCCATTTTTCGCTACCTCCGGTCCAATCAACATTTTTTTCTGTTGTATGAGTAGTCATATGAAGGTACTATATCCCTGACAGTTGGCTATGCAGCAGTGTACACTTTGAATGCAAACTGAAGACAAGTGAAGATATAAATGCAGCCGACTGTCGGGTACATAACGACTATCTAGCTTAGGCTTTCCACAAAAACATGAGGCCTAGGCTAGGCCTAGTTCAGTACAGTAGTTACTGTGATGCGAGGGTGGTAGATCGTTTAATCAATGATATTGTGTTATCATCTAATACATTTAAATAATAGGTGTAAAATTTAAGAATTCACCGCGTGGGTCGCTTTCTTTGTTATGCGGTAGTATATGTAGCAGAGTGACGGCAGCAAAGTGGGAATTCGGCAAACTGGGTTTCGACCAACTGGGAGGATACCGAAAATAAGATTAGTCATGTATCTTGCATAGCAACGTTGGCGCCTGCAAGGCTCTGGTTTACTTCTTTATGTTTTGTTTTTGATTATTTAGGTCTTGATTTTGTAGTTGTGTTATGTGGAATTTCAGCTTCTTTGTCATCACCATGAGTACATGTGATGTTTTGCACTCCATACACTGTTATTTTGTTGCTACCATATGCTGTCAGCTGTACATTATATTTCTAATAGGTCTGTTGGTTTACATCATCAGGAATGATGATGACATAATTAATGTCGAAATATTGAATCACGACACGATGGCGTGCATTTCGATACTTGGAGTATGCATTATACTATCTTATCTGAGATTAATCAGTGGCCCTTTCGGCTGTTGGTTTACTGTCCTTAATTTTCTTTTGACATAATTCTTTGTACATTCTCGGGCATGAAATTGGCTTCTGCTCCACTGTCTGTTATATCCCTCCCTACCTGTTTCCCCTCCATTGGAGCAAATAGTGGACTTTGACTTAGTGGACTTTGAAATATCAGCTGAGCCATACATTTGAATTTTATTAGCGCTTCTGACAGAATAGTAGATGTTCACTCAATCGTTGGCACCTTTATCCCCAGACTTGCTGTACTTTTTTGCTGTCAACGTCCATTGTCCAACAGACAAACTTTTCGCTTGCTTGGTCTAGCGCGGCTCACACCTGCAGCTATTGAGTAAACTAACTAGTTAGCCTAGACCTAGGCTAGAGTAGTAAGTAGGCCTATAGTAGACCTTAGGTAGTATTTATGACCATAGTATTATTAGAGCAAAAAACTAATGAGTAAATAAAAGCTCTCTGGGAGCTTCTAAAAACAGCCCATTAAGTATTTCATTGGATAATTATTAGAAAATTATTATTATTATTGGGAAACCTGAATTTTTATTTTATTTTTCAGTAATGAATAATAGTGCACTGCCCAGGTCAGCAGGATTGGATGTATCTCATTATCCAACTTCTACTCAAAAATCAAAGATGACAAATTTTTTGCAGTGGCGTGGAGATGCTTTTCAGATTATTATCATTGCTGCCATATTCCTCATCCTAATCTACCTGTGGTCTAAATTTTCAAAACGTTATCGGTTTGTCTTACGAAAGAAAATAGACTTGCCAGTGTTTGACGTCACTAGAGGTCACCGGTGGGTAATGTTAGAAGCATTTACGCGAACAACATATTGTACAGTGTGCGAAAGCAGCATCATGCATGGTGGGTATTGCGATTCGTGCGGGATTTGTGCAGATGACACGTGTGTACAGGTTGCAAATCGAGTCTTTCCATGTAAATTGCATCCATGCTTACCAAACAGGAGTAAACAGTACGGGATTCAACACAGAGGAAACAATGCAATGTTTAAGCATCAGTGGGTGCGTGGAAATTTACCAATTAGCAGTTATTGCGAAGTATGTAAGAAACTTTGTGGAAATGAACCACGACTCTGTGGTCTTCGTTGCACTTGGTGTCAGCGAACGACACATGATGAATGCGAAAAGATTAAGTATGAAAGTTGCGATTTTGGAAAATATTGTAACATAGTAATACCTCCGAATTGTTTACATTTGGATTTAGTCGGGTGGAGAGGAAGACGACATTGGAGCGCTAGCGAGATTGTTAACCCACCTTTATATCGGGAGTGGAGCCCCTTGGTTGTGTTAGCCAACAGAAAAAGTGGAAATCAAGAGGGTGAACTTATCTTACGAACATTCAGGTCTCTTCTCAATCCAGTACAGGTATGAGTTATTTTTTTCATTATTGTTCATCATTATTATTATGAAAATTTTACAATAGTAGGTACCTAACTTTAACTGGCTATTATTTTGACTTATATTTTGACTTCCATGTCAAGTAGAATCTTTATCAGTTATAAATGACAACAAAGAAACATGAAACATTACATAATATACTGATATATTTGTATTGAATTGAGGGTTTATCAAAATAAAATTTTAGGATTTTATTGGCAGGTTTCCAAGATTATAGAATTCACTTCCGGAATGCCTGGTTTATTAATGAGCTTTCTTAACAATAATAACTGATTTGATTTTGCATGATACAGTACCTATAGCCAGATGTTTTCAGGGAGACGAATGATAGAATGTTAGTGAACACTGCAGAGATCATGAATTTGGGGGAGATGGGCTAGTTTCTGGGAGGTTTTTGCTTGCTTGTGTGAGTGTGGGAGGCTGTTGTAACTTCAGGTAACTGGGTGTCTTATAACACTGGGAGTGTTATATACAGTTCATTTTTTATTATTCTTTTTCCATCGTCTTCCTCAAGGTGATTGATTTAAGTGAACTTCCACCAGAGAGGGCGCTTCAGATTTGTCATTTGTTGCCTGAGAGAACATTTCGTATTCTTGTGTGCGGTGGAGATGGCACCGTAGGCTGGGTTCTCAATGCTATTGATAAATTACAAATACAGGTAATAAGGCGATGAGGGGTATTGCTGAACCCCGCAAACCTCCAAACAATCACCGCAAACCCCATCCAAACCCTGTGATAATGATTGAATCACATAGTATAGGACTCACTTGGTATCACAGTAAAAAAAAAATATAATGTTCCAACCTACTTTTTGGGTAAAAATGCCATTTTTTGTATAAAAACATTGCTAAACCCCGCAAACCTCCAAAACACAGTGCAAACCCCATCCAAACCTTGTGATAGTGATTGAATCATGTAGTATACCTCAAAAATAGGTTGTGACGAACATAAAATTATGATTTTTTTTTTTATTGAGATACCAAGTGAGTCCTATACTACATGATTCAATCACTTTAAATCGCGACAATAAAAAGTCGTGAAATATTTAAAATTGTAAAATTGCAAAAATAAGGCCACGGAAACAAAGGGCTTTATAGTATAATGTACGTATCCATTTTACACCAAAAAAAATAATGCCTCCCTTGAATAAATGCCTCTCAGGGAGTACAGTATATTGTTGAGAAGTCAACAATATACTCCCTGGGGCGTTTATTTGAATAAATATGGTAATGTCTTTCATTAAGTTTATGAGGTGTTTTTAAGGTTTTTGCAAAGAAAATAAATTATATTTATTGATTTGTTTTATAGACAAGACCAAAGGTGTCCATCTTACCCCTTGGCACTGGGAACGATCTGGCCCGTGTGCTTGGTTGGGGGAAGGGTTATGATGGGGAGAACATTGTACAGTGGCTTAATGACATAGAGAAGGCAACAGTATCGTATCTGGACAGGTAAGGTCAATTAAATGGTATTCAATGGGCAGTTAGTATGCAAAACCATATATGGGCTATTCTACGAAAAATGAGACCAATATTCATTTTACTGTTCTTTTACTTGAGAAAACGTAATACGAATATCTATTTATTATGGTGCACCATCGTAAACTCTACTCAGACATACATAGTTTACTATAATATTATTGTATTATAATCATTAAAATGAGCCCAAACGACCGGAAAAGTCCATATTTGCAATTTCCCAATCACTAACCTAATATTTGATAATGGTAATTTGTTTTAAAATAACAATTAATTTACTTTGGTATTCATATTATCTTGAAGGGATGCCTGAACACATCATAATAACACATTATTTTGTAAGAGGTATTATATTAATGAAGTTTGAAATCAAGTATGCTTTCCACAAAACGTGTGTTTTACGTTATCCGCATTATTGGTGGATACATCAATAATATAAAACATCATATCTGAATTATTTATGAGTATTATTTTGCATAACATAGTGATTTGAAAAAAACTGCAAAAATTGTAGTGACCTCGTTAAGCATGTATATTACGTTATCCATATTCCTCAGTAACTAATAATCACACCAACTATTTGATATCAGACCAAATTATATGCCCTAACTTCATTATGGACTAAATATATGGAATTAACATCGGATTTTTCGCGCTAGACAGTAAAATAAAGCAAAATGTGATTTATGTTATTGTGAATTACGTGATCGGGCAGATTACTAGTGACTTTCTGACCCATTTTCCCACACTCCAGTGGCTTTCATCACTACCGAGAGTACATCGATGTTGGTAAAATCATGGCATATGACAGTGCAGATAATGATTACAATATCATGTTCATGGAACCGGCTGGCACTGAATTATGGATACCGGCAGAAAGCATTTTTCTAAGTGCAGACGAACCCACATGGACTAGAATGTCCACTCGCACTTTCAAACTTTCAAAGAAAGATGCAGTTGCATTGGAAAGTGCTAGTTTCGTTGAATGCATTAATCTGACCGGGAAAAGGAATAACGTAAATCATGTATATTACTTTGTCTGTCAACAACGCATTAATGCGTTTTACTCTTATTTAGTGGCGTATCTGGGGTGGGGGGGCCTGCGGGTCCCCACCAGGAGCCCCCCCCCTAAAAAAAATCACAGTCAAGTAGTTAAAATTACCATATTTTGCTAATTAGCACCCCTCAACTGATCATCGAGCCCCTGCCCACTTCAACTTCGCATCGGCTCCCCCCATTTCAAGACTTCTAGATATACCACTGCTCTTATTACCTTAAATGGTTTATTAGGACCAGGGTTTACTTTATTAAACTAAATATTAATTGTATGAGTACTTTGGATACACATTTGTATTGAAAGGAGAAAATATCGTAATTCACATTTGTATTACATTATCCACCTTCTTAGCAAGAAGGTGTATTTGTTAGTACATCTAGGCATATGCTGCGTTATCAATCGATATTGAATGCATTACAGTATGACATATTCCACAGTAAAGTTAAATGTTAAGTAACAATGGATTGTCTGTTTGCATCTGATTTATGTTTAACTAGTATACAACCAATTTAATTTTTAAGAGTAATTAATTGATAATGTTTGAATTACCTTGCAAATCTCAGGAAGAGAATACAGTTTATTATGTTAATAGTTGATGGTGAAAATACATACCAAGTATGTTTGGACGGTAACATGACTTTTCCAGTGTTCTTTCGTAATTTGACTATTTTATCACATGGTCTAATGTGTATTACATTATCCGTACTTATATATTGTAAATTGATAATGATGCAATCATGTGTTTTCCATAAACGGCCGTCTCATAATGTATTTACAGGAAACATTACAGAGAATGTCAACAAAATGAAACAAATTTAATATATTTCAATATGTGATTTTGAAACATATCATGTTCATAAGTGTCAATTAATTTGTTTACACTTACTATATAATGGTTAATATAATTGCTAACATAAACTGGGTTTCTTATAACAACATTGGAAATGCTTCTAAACTAAGTGTGAAAATGCATAGCGATTTTGTTTGTTTTATTTTATGTAATCACGCAAGTTTACCTTATTTTAAAATAATTGTATTAACAAAGAGTTACGATCACGTAATACACATCAACCTTTGTGTACAAAAATGTACCATAACATTTAAATTGATTTATAAAAAAAACCCATACATGTGGTGTTCACAATTTCTGGTGATCTGTTATTTTTGATATGTCAGTGTAGAAACAATTCATTTTATTATTTTTCCAAATTGAACTGGTCTCATTTTATGTAGAATAGCCCAAATGACTCCATATTTAGTAAGGGCTACCATCCAGCAGATCTGCTAATTTGTTGCAGGAGCAAGCCTAAGAGTAGGTAGGTGTAGGCCTACAAACAATTCTCATTGTAGAAAGCCCATGAACACCAAAACTTCGACAACATTTGATCTATTATTGAAAAGAACAACAAAAAATAGTAAAAAACCAGTTACGCTAAACCAGTTTTATTTTTTTACTTGGCATTTTAAAAAGAATTTAAGTCACTGAAAAAATCTTTATCAAAACTCTGCCCCTATATTTTGGGGCGGCGGAGCAGGGCAAACAACAATCCTTTTTTATTGCTACCAAAGAGGAGCGACTGTCAAGGCTTCCTTGAAAGGAATCATATCTCAAAAGGGTGTTTAACTAGTATACAACCAATTTAATTTTTAAGAGTAATTAATTGATAATGTTTGAATTACCTTGCAAATCTCAGGAAGAGAATACGGTTTATTATGTTAATAGTTGATGGTCAAAAATACATACCAAGTATGTTTGGACGGTAACATGACTTTTCCAGTGTTCTTTCGTAATTTGACTATTTTATCACATGGTCTAATGTGTATTACGTTATCCGTACTTATATATTGTAAATTGATAATGATGCAATCACATGTTTTCCATAAACGGCCGTCTCATAATGTATTTACAGGAAACATTACAGAGAATATCAACAAAATGAAACAAATTTAATATATTTCAAGACAACTAAATATGTGATGTCAATTAATTTGTTTACACTTACAGTACTATATAATGGTTAATATAATTGCTAACATAAACTGGGTTTCTAATGATAACATAGGAAATGCTTCTAAACTAAGTGTGAAAATGCATAGTGATTTTGTTTGTTTTTATTTTATGTAATCACGCAAGTTTACCTTATTTAAAATAATTGTATTAACAAAGAGTTACGATCACGTAATACACATCAGCCATTGTGTACAAAAATGTACCATAACATTTAAATTGATTTACAAAAAAAACCCATACATGTGGTGTTCACAATTTCTGGTGATCTGTTATTTTTGATATGTCAGCATGTCAGCGTAGAAACAATTCATTTTATTATTTTTCAAAATTGAACTGGTCTCATTTTATGTAGAATAGCCCAAATGACTCCATATTTAGTAAGGGCTACCATCCAGCAGATCTGCTAATTTGTTGCAGGAGCAAGCCTAAGAGTAGGTAGGTGTAGGCCTACAAACAATTCTCATTGTAGAAAGCCCATGAACACCAAAACTTCGACAACATTTGATCTATTATTGAAAAGAACAACAAAAAATAGTAAAAAACCAGTTACGCTAAACCAGTTTTATTTTTTTACTTGGCATTTTATAAAGAATTTAAGTCACTGAAAAAATCTTTATCAAAACTCTGCCCCTATATTTTGGGGCGGCGGAGCAGGGCAAACAACAATCCTTTTTTATTGCTACCAAAGAGGAGCGACTGTCAAGGCTTCCTTGAAAGGAATCATATCTCAAAAGGGACTACCACAAACTAGAGGTTGTCCTTCAAAAGAATGTAAAAGGCATTCGTATCAAACGCATGCTGCATCAATAAAACGCATACATTCAAATTCTAATAGGGCACCCTTACTATATCTCATGGTAGTACTTCACATTTCATTTCATTGCATTCTTACAAAATCAGGATAGTCGGAGGACCTCTTGCAAATATATACTCTTGCTAATAGTATACTCAGTTTATGAAGTCAATCACGATACTCCAAATATTTCAGTTGGTAGTCTTAGCATTAACCATCAATTCTTATCTAATATGTTTTTGCTTTCTTATCATTGCTAGATGGACTACGACAATACGCTACCAACCAAAGTTCAAGATAAGACGTCCAAATAAGGTATGCGGAGATCAGATAATTGGCATCACTTCTGTTTTGTATTGTAGAGTTTGCTAAAATTATTTCATTCCCATAATATCCTATTTAATGAATACATTTTACATTGTACTGAATGTTGGGCAGATTTTTT